GAATGGCAACAAAAGTCCTTCAATCAGGATTTTATTGGCCTTCTTTGTTTAAAGATGCTCATGTGCATGCTCAAAGTTGTGACAATTGCCAACAGAGTGGAGGAATTATAAAACGGAATGAGATGTCGTTACAAAGCATGTTGGAGGTGGAAGTATTTGACTGTTGGGGAATTGACTTTGTTAGTCCATTTCCACCTTCATTTTCTTGTGAATACATTCTAGTTGTTATAGACTATGTGTCCAAGTGGGTGAAAGATATAGATTATGCTAAAGCAGACAGTAAAACCGTGATAAAATTCTTGAAGAAAAACATTTTTTAGTGTTTTGGTACGCCTAGAGTGTTGATAAGTGATGGAGGATCTCACTTTTGCAACGATCCATTAGAAAAACTTTGGAGCATTATGGCGTGAAACATAAAGTGACATCTCCATATCATTCTCTGGCTTATGGTAAGGCTGAAGTATCAAATCGCGAGATCAAGATGATTCTTGAGAAAAATTGTGTCTTCTTCTAGGAAGGATTGGGCACACAAGCCTGATGAAGCTTTGTGGGCTTATCAGACTGCATTTAAGTCTCCGATAGGTCTTACATCGTTTAAAATGATATATGGAAAAGCTTGTAATTTTCCGGTATAGTTGGAGCATAAGGATTTTTTGGCTCTAAAATTCTTGAACTTTGATCCCACTTTAAGTGGTGAAAAGAGGAAAGTGCAACTTCATGAATTGGATGAATTACGACTTCAAGCTTATGACTCCAACAAACTTTACAAGGAGAAGGTAAAAAAGTATCATGACAAGAAAACTGTAAGGAATGACTTTCATGAAGGGCAATTGGTCTTACTGTTTGATTCTAGATTAAAATTGTTTTCGGGTAAGTTGAAGTCAAAATGGTTCGGTCCGTTTTGAATTAGGGAAATCAAACACTACAGAGCAATTATGATTTAAGACCCTTCATCTAAAGAAAGTTGGACAGTTAATGGGAAAAGGTTGAAAGTGTACCTTGGTGGTGAAGTTGTTAAGGATGCAGGAACAATTTCTTTTGGCGATCTTTGAGTCACTTTCGACCGTTGAGCTCAAACATCGTTAAACAAAACGCTTGTTGGGAGGCACCCCAATATTGTGAGTATTATTGTTTTTTTTACTGAATTTTTTAGTTTTGGTATTGTGAAAGAGTATTGTGATAAACCAAAAATTGAAGAAACCAGAATTTTTGAGTTACTGTCATGTTCGCCCTCAGTTCGCTATGCGAACCTAGGGCAAATAAGTTTGTTGGGCGAAGAATTATTCGCTAGGCGAACATGGCATATTATAGACTATTGGTGAGTTTATCTTACAACACTTTTATGTTTTTTTTGTAGTATTGTTGCATTTCCTTTTCTGTAGTTGACCCGAGGGCAAGCCTTTTTGAAAAACGAGGGGTAGTTTTAGTAGTCTCTAGTTTTTTATGGTTGTTGGTAGCTTATTTTGAATTTAATGCTTCTTTATTTGATGATTGAATGTGAGAAATTCTAGATTTATTACTAATTTCTAAAATTAGACAATGAAGATTCTCCCAAGTTTGGATGGTGATGATAGTATTTGAGCATGTGAATGCAAGCAAGGTACATTGTACTGCTTCTTAGAATGTTAGAGTGGTTCATGAATATTGTGTTTTTTTGCAAATATGTATTTTTATTTCATTGTGCAACTTTGTTTTAAATACTTGTTTTATTTAAGTCTAATAGCCACAATTTGTAAGAAATCTCCATTGTTTACTATATGCTTAGGATGACTGATAAACTTTGTTTAATACATTTGGTTCATGCTTAATCTTGTGATTATTTTAATTTTGTGTAAGCATTATAAATGATAAAGGTATTTTTTGATATTGAGCACAACCATATCCAAAAAAGTAACTTACCCGCGAGTAGTGAATATTTTTTAACGTCTTTGAGCTTAATAGTTTAGATCCTAATTTAGTGATGAACTTAGTGCATGTACATAAATTAAAAGATAGTTCATCATTGAATTTTATGGGATTCTAAAAAAAAATTCTTGAACCTTTGAACATTGTTCTAAATTATCTTCCTTGTCATAAAAAGAAAGGAACATTCACTTGAGGTTTGGTTGATTTCAAGTTAGGGAGAGTGAAAAGAAAAATGGTAGGTTACTAAAAAAATTTGAAAATTTTCAAACAAGCATTGAAAAAGAAAAAGAAAAAGAAAAAGAATGCTTGTTTGAAAGAGAAAAATAGATAATGAATAATGTGCATTAAGGAAGTTTAGAAGGGTGAGCAATAAAGAAAAGAAAGTATGGATGAAGTTGTAGTGTGTATATATCCTTGTATAGTGAACGTTTTCTTTTGCATTCACAATTTTGATTCTATGGCCTTAGATGTGTCCATTTATTGTGAACCTAACCAAGCTACAACCTTAAAAGACCTTAGTGATCTTTTGCTTCCATGATTTCATTTTTTGATTGATCAGATGAACGTATGAATTGGATTGATATTTGCATTGTTTGTCAGGTGAATGAAATTATCATGCGGTTGCAAATGCGTTAATTTCTTCATTCTTATTTTGAAGAGGGGCGTAAAGTGATTCAAGCATGATAATTTAGTTTTTATTTGAAACATTGCATGATATTTTCTAAGAACTAAATTCATTATCATTGTTCGATTCTAGGAAGTGGTGAGTTTTACTTGTGCGCATTTGGATGTTTAATTTGAGCCGTAGATCCATTATTGGTTGAATTAAATGCTTGAGTAAATCCTCTTGTTTTCAATGAGAGACATACTTTGATTGAGGACAAGTAAACATCTAGTTGGGGAGAGTTTGTTGAATGCCAAACATGCTTTAATTTGATCCATTATATTTGGCATTTTTCAACTTATTTGTTATGTTTCAGTGGATTTATTCCATGTTTCCATGATATTCTTCAATATTGTTGCAAATACTTTGTTTACTTTGGTATGTGTGTTATTGTGTAGGATTTAGAAATAATCTATCAAAGAGTAAGACACAGGTGAATTGACAAGGAAGCCAAAGAAAAGGAGAAGATTTAGCATGTTTGCTGGGCGAACAACAACGAGTAGCCAATGAATATTCGCTGGGTGAAGTTGCAGCGAAGCCCTAGTGAACCATCCCAGATTAGAGGCAGTAAGAAAATAGCCATAAGTTAGATGTGCGAACTTGTAGCGAAGAAGCTTGTTGGGTGAAGAAACGTTTGTTATGCAACCTTAGATATTTTCTCAAGGGCGATTTAACTGTTCAAAGGCACTTCGGATGCCATAAAGTGGTCCTCATTGGACGAATAAAGCGTTTGTTGGGCGAACTTGACAAATTTTAGAAGTACTATATATGTATTTTTCATACTTTCTTGGGATCATAACCCCATTTTCACATAGAAACCTCATTTTTCTGCATTTCTTCACCAAAGAGTGGGATTTTACAAAGAGAAGCTGGATTCGCATCCAAGATCGATTCTTCGATGTGGATGCTCATTCATCTTCTCTCAATACTTGTAAAGCAAGCTACCATGGTTATAGGAAGCTAATTTCCTTTGTATCAAAGGTAGAGGTAGTCTACCTTAGCTTTATGGATTTCTTTTGATTGGCCTTATATGTGAACAAGTGATGATTAATATATGATGAATATTTTTATTCTTAATGATCCATTCTTGTTTTGTAAAACTCTAGACATAGATTTTATGGAACTTGACCTAAAATATTCATCTATCAATTTATAGATTGGAGAGATCGGTCTATGGTTGATATTTGCTTTGTTTTGAACTTAAAGCTTACTATATTGGTTGTTATATGGAGAGATCGTGTAGCGATGAATACGATATTTCTCACTACACCGCTCTAGACATAGACAATATTAAGAGAATACATGATGATATTAATCGGATCCGAGTTCACATGTAAGATTGAAAAAATACGTATTAATTAGGGTAGATGAAAACTACTTTTGATATACTTTGTTAATCAAACTTTAGAATTAATAAGTTTTGCTACTAAACCATGACAATATATGAAACAAACTTTTAAAACCCTTTTCTTGAAACGGTAAATTATTGAATGGCAAGCATCCCATATCAGAACAATCCTTGTGGAGACGATAACAAACACCCATTTTACCTACAACTCAACAACAAGCTGACTTGACATTACAACTTGCTTTCTGCAGTACAGATAGATTCAGCTTCGCTATAACTTCTAAACAATCACAAAAGATAAAAAAATTACCAAGTGTAGAAATAATGTGTTGCTTCTTCTGATGCTGAGGCCTTCAGCTTCAGAGTCTACGCTAGACATCACTTAGCAAGTGTTCTTCAAATTTTGTATCATCAGAAACACGTAACTCAGCTTCACTCAAGTGTGCCTTCATATCTTATTCTGAATATATCTTTTAAGTATAAGAACATGCATACTTGAACATACATTAGATAACACCATTGTTATTTTAATTCTTTTGTTATCATCAAAACTAAGGATATGCGTCATAAACAAATCTTGTTCTTACACAGGATTATGTAGTAGGAATCTCTTCGATTCACCAAGCCATAACAAGAACATTGATGGGAAGAAGGAGAAGTCTACCAGTAAAGGCTCAGTATCTACTTCATGGGAAAATAATAGGGGATTGAAAGGAGAAAATAAATAGAAGGCAATGATAGTGGCAGTGGATAGAGAGGTGGATAGTGTAGCTGAATTATTGTGGGCAGTAATGATTTCAAAGACATATGAAGAAGTAACAGCAGAGGTCAAAGAGAAGGGTAGAAAGAAATAAACCCCAAAATGGAAGAGACAAAGAGCGAGTAAACCTAATATTAACCAACAAGCTAGGACATTAGAAGCAAAAATGAGGAAATACAATTGATAGAAGTTATGTTTGATGATGTTTCCGCAATGGAGATAATGGAGGGAGGGAATAAAAGGAAACAAAATGGGGAAGAAGGTACACAAACAATTAACAACGAACCAGATATGGTGTTGGAAAACCAACACCTCTCATCATAATGAAAATCATCAGTTGGAATTGTAGAGGGTTAGAGAATCCCTCTACATCTCGAGCCTTTCTAAGGCTCGCACACTTGGAAAATCCTAATGTGGTATTCCTTATGGAGACAAGACTCAAAACAATTGAAGTAGAAGGTTTTATATTAAAATGCAATTTCAACAATGGTTTTGGTGAGGATTGTAATGTACAAGGAAAGGATAGAGCTAGGGGGCTTGCGCTTATGTGGAGGGACACAATTGATATTTCGATTATCTCTTACTCCCTGAATCACGTAGGGGGAAATTTTGTTGATGAATTTAGTGGTGGTATTGTCGCGTTTGTAGGTTTCTATGGCCACCTCGAGGATCACAAAAAAAAAGACTTTCTTGGCAGTTGTTGAGGGACTTGAAGCCTCATAGCGGCTTATGATGTTGTTTTGGATATTTCAATGACACTGTCAGCACTAGGAACAATGATGGTGGAAATATTAAGAGTCCAGGAAATTGATGTGGGGAAGGTAAGCTGTGGAGGATTGTGGGCTTTATAATGTGGGTTTCGAAGGACACTCATTTACATGGACAAATGGAAGAGAGGGGGATAGGAACATTTAGTGTAAATTGGATAGGATGTATGGGAACGAAGAGTTTGTGAACAGATTCTCACCTATTAGGGTCTAACAGCTTTCCAAAAGAACATTTGATCACACTAATATATCTATTGAGTTGGAAGATAGAGGAACTGGAGGGAACAGAGGATAATATTCAAATTCTAAGAGGTGTGGACAAAGGATGCTAGACGTGAGGATACTAGCTGTAATGTATGGAGTGATACTCATCGGTCATTCATTAAGAGGATTAATGGGCTACAGTATCCGGGGACTACCTTTGAAAAGTACATGAGAGATAATGTTAAGAAGGAGATAAAAAACTTGGAGAAAAAAATCAAGGATTTGAACCTATGGGCAACTTCTGCAGAGGATCTTAGCAAGATGAGAGTTCTCAACGGACGGTTGAATGAGTGGCTGAAAGCTGATGAAACTATCTATAGACAATGCAGTAGGGTTGTTTGGTTGCAGGATGGAGATAAAAATTCCAAATTCTTTAATGGGAAAGTTAGGAAAAGAAGGAAAACAAACACCATTTTAAAGATAAAAAATGCTAGTGGATTTTGGTGGCGAGAGGAGAAGGAAGACATTGAAAGACAGATGGTGTCTTATTTTAGGGACTTTTTTCCTTTAGAGGGTATAGAAGGGGCAAGTGTAATTTGTGAAGTGGTGAAGGATATACTGAATGATGAGCATATCCTGTGGTGTGTTAGAGATTTCAATAAGCTGGAGATTAGGGATGCAATTCAACAAATGCATCCTTTCAAGGAACCAAGACCAGATGTCATACCAACTTTGTTTTACCAAAATTATTGGCACATAGTTGGGGAAGGATGTGGAAACATTAGCTTTGGTGATCCTTAATAATGAGAAAATCACAAAGGCTCTGAATAATACTTTAATTTGCCTTATTCCGAAAGGAAAAAACCTTGCCCCCCCCCCCCCAAAGGACTTCAAACCTATCAGTTTATGCAATGTTACCATGAAAATAGTCACCAAGACTGTTGTTAACAGGCTGAAGGCTATTCTTCCTGACATAGTGGACGAGGAACAAAGTATGGTCATTCAAGGCAGACTCTTCACTGATAATAGACTCATAGCAATGAAGTGCTTCCATTGGATGAAGAATAATGTAAAAATTAAACAAGGTACAGTGGCTGTTAATCTTGATATATCCAAGGCTTATGATAGATTCTAATGAGATTTTGTCAATATCATGCTTACCAACATGGGCTTTCCTACCAAACTGGTTAAGGCTATCATGCAATGTGTCACTATAATATCTTATAAATTCTCATAAATACACAACCAAGTAAGTCTTTCACTCCTGAGTGCGGCTTAAGGCAAAGGGACCCCCCTGTCCGCTTACCTTTTCATCATGTGTGCTAATTTTTTATCTAGACTAATTGCTAAAGAGAATCGAAGAAGTAATATCCATGGCATTAAGGTGGCTAGGAAGACACCACATATTTCTCATCTTTTCTTTACAGATGATTCTCTTCTTTTTCTCGAGCTACTTAACACAAGATAAATTGCATTCTTAGAGTGTTTGGTTCTTACCAAAAAAGGATCTGGGCAGTTCGTTAATGTGGGAAAGTATGAAATGTCTTTTAGTCGCAATGTCCTCAAAGAGACAAAAACCTCTATCTGCAGCAAATTGGGTTTCAAATAGTTGACTAACCATTCTAGATATCTGGTACTCCTAGTTATATTTGCAATGTCTAATAAGGAGGTGGTTTCTATTGTTTTGGACAAATTTTGGAAAAAGCTTAAGGGGTGGAAAGAGAAGGTGTTGTCAGGAGCAGGAAGAGAAGTTCTAATTAAAGTTGTTGCTCGGGAAATTCCTAGTTACATCATGAGTTACTACAGTTTACCGGACATATGTTGTCAAGATATTAAGTGTATGGTAGCTAGGTTCTGGTGGGGGAAAAGGAAGAGGAAAAGAAACTCCATTTAGCTAAGCTGAGAAAATTTATCTAAGGCTAAAGGTAATTGAGGTATAGGATTTAGAGGTTTCTCTGATTTTAACAAGGCTTTAATATGGAAACAGTGTTGAAGGCCGATGAACAGTGGGAATACTTTCCTTGGAAGGATATTCAAGGCCAAGTATTTCCCTGGGAGAAATTTTGTTGATGCTAAGGTTGGTTTTGCACCCAGCTTTGCCTAGAGAAGTATTATGAGTGCGAAGGGTATGGTGGCGAATGCATATAGGTGGAAATTTTCAATGGAATGAGTGTAAGGATTCAAAGGATACTTGGTTACAAGGAATTTTAGGTGGAAATGTTATTAGTCAAGTCACCTCTTTTGAGGTTGATGCAAGAGTCAACATCCTTATTGATCCCAATACAAAGCAATTGAAGAAGGATTTGGTCACATCTAACTTTAGTGAGCATGAGACTAAGTTGATCCTGAGTATTCCTATCTCTAATAAACTTCCTGATGACAAGATAATTTGGCCCGTAGAGAGAGATGACATCTATTCGGCTCGTACAACTTACCATAACATTGGAATGGAAAGGGAACGGTTTATGGCTGGTACTTCTGGAGACATTGAAAAGAATATGTGGAGCACTATTTGGAGAATCCAACTAGGTAATGCGACAAAGAACTTCCTTTGGAGGCTTGCTAAAGGAATCCTCCCCGTCAGAAACAACCTCTATAGGAGAGGAATGTTGATTGACACACCTTGCCCCGACTATTTTAATTTTGTTGAAACTGAAAAGCATTTGTTCCTTTTTTGTCATTCAGAAAAACTCGTGTTGTTTCTCTTTCAAAGTTTGTTATAACTCATTAATGAGGTAGTGTTTTCATGTATTCTGGGTTAAATTCATTTTTATGTTTTTTTAAGTTTTCAAAAATGTATTTTAAGAAACTTTCTGGAGATGCATTTTCGGAATAAATATATTCATAAAATTGAGATGTGATTTAAAAACGAATGAAATGCATGTATTGAGACATTTTCGAATATACATCTCCAAAAATTAAAGATATTTTTAGAAATTCGCGTGGTACAGAAGAAACATCTAAGGTGCATTAAGAAATTTTCAAAATAAACTATTTAAAAACACAATATTTCATCAAAAAAGGCTTTTTAATCTTTCTTTTGGGCCTTCCGTCACGATCTTGGACCATTAAAAAGAAACTTTAGAGACTATCTTAAAAGTTTGACATCAAAGTTGCTTATTAAAGTTGATTAAAAAAATATTCAATTAGAATAAATAATAAAAAAATTAATATATTAAAAGGATTTACAAAATGAATTTATCAATTGAATTTAATGAAGATGTAGCCCGTTTTTTTTATCTAATAAAAATAAATCGTATTGCGACTAAATTTATATTATGGTTAAAAATAGTTATCGAGTACTTTTTGTTGTAGTTGTTATATATGTCAGTAAAAATTGATTTGTTTAATATTATATTAAATAAAATATCTGCTATAAAAAGAAGAGATAGTATTAGTAGTTATGAAATAGTGGTATTGAATTTGGATATAAAGTAGTTCCTTATGATTTGGTGTACTCGTGATTTCAGTTTCACTTTAAACAGCAACGAGAACTTCGTGACTTTCAGTTTTCTTTACCTTTTGTAAAGACAATATTCACAACTACTTACAAACTAGTATATCATCCAAGTTTCTACCAATTTCTTAGAAGAAAAAAAATATCACTTACTAAATCACTATTTTAATTTTAAAATACTTACAAAATATTATAATTTACACTGATAATATTTAATCTATTTTTTTTATCAAACTATTTTTTAGTTGAAATCACCGAAAGTAAAATTTAGAGCCATTTTATTTTATCTTTAAAAAGAAATTGATTTTTCTTTTAATAGTTTTAAATGATTTTTATAAAAATATCTTTGAATTTAATTGGTATGAGTTGACCGTGTAAAATTATTTTATATTGTCAACCAATCACCCTCGTGTATTATGTCACATCAGACCGTAAATTTTAAATTAATTATATGATATCACAGATTAGTATATTTCTATTGAATGACAGTGTAAATGTACACCAATTAAACTCAATATTTTTTTAAATATTATTATTTTTCAAATTGAAAGATTAATTTTGATATCATATTATAACATAAATATATATTATTGAATATTAAAACATAATTGAAAATACAATCTTTTATAAAAACATGCATCTCAAATATAATTTTTATAAAAAACTCTTTGAAATATCTTCAAATTTAAATATTTTTTTAAAATTTTAATATTTAAGAAAATTATCGTAAAAAGATAAAATACATAAAATAATTATTCAAATCAATTTTTTTAAATAAAAATATATTACACTATAAAAAATATTTTCAAAAAAGTTGAAACAAATGAATCCTTAATCCATATTGTTGTGAATCGGATGCCTTGGAACAAAATATAAACGGTTTCTTTATGATCAAGAAACACACAAAGGTTAGGGTTAACAAAAAAAACAATGTAAAACAACAAGGAACAATAAGGATTGATTATAAACTGCTACTGTTTCCTTACTCTTAGAACAAGATTACAGGTATACAAGAATAACAAAATAACCTCTCTCTCTTGAAATTAGAATTTTATCTTCCTATTTTTCCTTATACCAAGATGAGAGACTAACATCCTATTTATAAGAAAAATAACACACTAACCTAATGAGCTTTTTAACAATTATCCATTACAAGCTAACTTAGGATACAAGCTAACTTGAACCATTGGGGTTACAAGCAAGATCCAATTCAACATGCTAACAAACCTAGCAATATTGACTAATGCATGTTAGAACAAACTTCGACTACAACACG